GTGTCCTTGTTCTTCTCATTACCCAGAAGATGGCTGGTTCGAAGAAGCATTCATCAGCCAAGGCCAAATCCGCCAGTGCTTCTGGAAAGGACAAGGTTTTTTTTCAACTCAAGTTCATCTTTTTCGTTGATTCTGCTTATGGGTTTGATGTTTTCATAAGCAATTTTGGTTCCAGGTAGTGATTTATGTTGTTTTCTTGCTAGGTTTCTCGGGATTATGGTGAGAGTTTGGTGGGTTCAAGGATTCAAGTTTGGTGGCCGATGGACCGCAAGTGAGTATTCAATTTATACGGAACAAAGTTAGGGTTTTTTACTGTTTTTTCAGTACTTTGTGATGATGAATGTTACGGATCCTTTGTTTTCCAGATTCTATAAGGGAGTGATTGAGTCCTTTGGTGTTTCAAACAAGAAGCACAAGGTAATTTCATATCGTGATTGTTGTTCCTTTGTTTCTTAATGGGTCTGCTTGAATCTAGATTTGTATCACATATCATGATTGTTGTTGTTCCTTTTTTTTTGTTTATGGGTCTGTTTGGATCTAGATCTGTTTCATTACTTTGGGATATTGAATTGCATATTCATAAATGGAGTATTGATATATTGATTGAACTAGGTTATCACTTGTGTTCAAGGATCCTTTATTCAATATTGGATATCTTGGGTGTATGATTTACTCTCTCATTGGAATTCAATTTTCGGTTTTTATTAGATCTGTTGTCATTCAATGATTTATGCTCTTACATTGATACCATTCTGTTACAATAGGTTCTGTATGATGATGGGGATGTTGAGAACTTAAATCTGAACAAGGAACGATGGGCGATGATCGAAGAAGAAGATGCTGAAGCTGAAGCTGAAGAGGTAGAGATTGTCTTATCTGTTATTATTGCTTTGGATCTGTGGATTTCTAGCTTTTAATGGTTTGACGTTTCTTTTGTAGATCTCCGTACAGGAGGAGTCGGGTAATGAGAGCTCTGAAGCCACCCCAGAACCGTAAGTTTGCCCTTATCCTCGTGCATGTCGTAAAAATTGCAAAGTAGAGTACTTGATTAGGTTTTCATTCAGATCCTGGGTTGTGTGTTATTACAGATATTTTGTGACCCCTAATAATCATGAGTTAGGATAATGAGTCTGTCTGATAAACGTATATTCGTATCTATTCATTGTGTCACTCAGCTATGAAACTCGATTGTCAGATATTCTCAGTGATCTTTGTTACATCTTGATTAATCTCTTTACATGTTTAACAGGAAGAAAGCTAAAACTAATGGTAAGCCATCTGGAAGAGGAAGGAGGGATGAAGCTGTGCCGAAAAAGAAAGAAAAGAGGTTGGATATGTTTACATATACGTACTTAGTTAAGCACACACCCACGTGCGCTAAAGCACATTTAAGTCTCCATGTCTCTGGTTTATACATTATGGAGTTGATTTCATAACATAAGAGGGAACTCTATAAATATCACTGTTGTTCTCTTGGTTTGATTCTAACGGTTTTAAAACCCCATTGTGTTTACAGCAAGTCCAAAGCCAAGTCTGGTAAGAAAGCAGAGGATAGCGACGGAGAAAGAGAGAGACCGAAAAGGGGTGTGAAGAAAGCTGAGAAATCGAACGATGATGAGAAGCAGATCCAGAAGCCTGGAACTGAGAGAAATGGCAAAATGGGTGGTGTTGGCGGTAAGATGGTAACAGCGGCCTCACGCATCAGTGGAAGGTTCCAAAAAAAGGAGAATGGTGCTGTGAAAGAGACTTCTAACTCCTTGAAAACTAGCACGAAGATTTCTGAATCAAACAACCCAACGCGGAAAAGGCGTCCTGCATCAGAGGCTGTCTCGAAGGATGTGAAAAAACCGAGGACTTCTTCGAGAAGGACCAGGAGCAACAGCACTGCTTATGATGATGAAGAAGAGATGTCTGCTGCTGATGACGTCCAGGATAATTTATCTGGTGGTGGCGATGTGGAGGACAATGTGTCTGGTGGTAGTGATGATGAGCATTCATCTGATGATGACTCCAAACCTATTGTGAGTCTGGTTACCAAATCTCCAAAGACCAGGAACGCT